GGTTTCATCATCAATCAAGATGGTGAAATGGTGCATACAAACGAGGAACGTGCTCTGGTAAGGCATGGAGTTGGTGTGACTGACAAGGACAATACCAGCACTTCAAAGGCAATACCAAATGTTGAAAAGGAAGAGAAAACCATCTCAGACTCTGATGAAGAATTCTGATGATTGTGTGCAAACTATCTCTATCTACCTCTTTGATCCTCTTAAACTTAACAAAAAGCATATTATCTACCTCTCTGATCCTCTTAAACTTAACAAAAAACTTATTTCTTATGTGTCTCTGCTACTTGCTGTAGAAATATCCTAGGACTGGAACCCTGACTTAGCAGTAGGTTTGTTGCTAAGTATTGAACTTAATTGCGTATGTCTCTGTTTCAAATCATATATGTGATTTCATTAAGTAGTGATGTTGTCTCTGATTTTGGTTTGTTGTCTTGCTATCTCGGATCAATCCAACATACATGTGAATACGGTATTGAAACTCACTAAGGTGGTTTCATACTATGGCTCTATTCTGGTATTGTTGTTGAAAGGATCGTGGACATCACTGAGGTGATTCCAGTAAAAAGAGTTGTATCTACTCTATGTGAGTTCTGTTTTGACAGGTTGCTTGAATTGACATACTCAAGTAAAAAGAGGGAGATTGTAGATGCATCAAGGATGGCAACTAAGGATCAAAGAAGATGTGAGGATTCATGTGCTACACAGGTAGACGAGCAAAGCTGAAGTCAACTTCTCATGTGTGAATGTCAATGAGTGTCTCGAGCCATGGGAAAGCAAGTGGGAGATATCGTGCAGACGGTGTTTCAATTATCAAGAAAGTGACCTTATGCGAAAGTCAATAAGCAGAAGTATGGTGCGTTGCACAGAGTGATGTGACAGGTGAAACAGTGTCTCCCTGTACAAAACAATGAAGAGTCTGCCGGTCNGAAGNGTGCTCCTTCAGAAATATTGGTTNGTAAAAAAAACNAATATAACGAGGCNAGAGAAGAGTTTTTCTGACANGGCTTCTTGATGAAAAAAATATAGCAAGAGTGAGAAAGAGGTTACAATGTGAAGATCTCAAGAACAAACTAAGAGAGTTCATGTTGAGAGTTAACTATTCCTTCTGGGTAGTTTAGGAACTGTTTTTAAACACGAATCGTGGTGTATAAGATGTCGTGTGTTCTGGGTAGGGCAAATTGAGAGATTGTTCCAAAGTATTGTGAGATTGTGCTATCTGGTACTTTTGCAACAGGAGTTGCTTGTAGCTGTGCTACGTTTGTATCAAAAAAAGTGTTTTTACGTGTGTTATAACTTTCTTCTGTTGATATCAGTATTTGTGTTTCCATATTGGGTTCTACTACTTTTACAAACTTACTACGCTTTCAGTAAGCATATCCAATTTCCCAAATACAATTTTATATTTATTTTATAAAACATAGAAAAGGTTGTAAAACTCACTGCTTTCTATACTATAGGATCTTCGCGTGAACCCTATGCGAGCACACAACCCAACAGATGCCCAACAATCGAAGAGGGGAAAAGTATTGTAAACTAACACTAATCCATAGTTGTGACAATAACCCTTTAAAAAATTAGAATTGAGACATTTACATAATTAGATACTAGGTCTCGAACCCCCGCGAAATCGCATCTAAATATTAGACATTTACATTATTTGAAGTAGTGTTAATGCTACTTTTGTTATCATTTAAAATTCAGTATCTAAATACAAGTGATCAGTTGGAGGTTTAGGTTTATTTTTAGATCTCGGTGGTCTACCACGTGAACGACGACAAACGATGTCTCCTCCGACTTGTCCACCAGAGCGTTATGATTCTCCACCAACCTAGGCTAAATCAACACATTGTTGTTGTTTTTCGTTATTGTAATCCTCGACAACGACGATGAGTGACCAATTCCGGCCCTGAGAGTGACGTTCTCTAAGGTCGAATTGTGGTGAAGATTGAGAAAAAGATGATGAAACTCGTGACTAACGTCAACGAGAAAAGGAGTAAAAAAGACAAATAAATAGGCAAAACTTTTGTTTCGAAAAGACACAACTCTTGAAAAATAACCATAAAGCGATTTTTTATATCGGAAAGAAGCAACTCTTGAAAAAACGGTTATATCGAAAAGACAAAACCCTTAGAAATAACAATAAAGCGGTTAAAATGGAAAAATGTAACCCTTCAAAAAGTGATTATATCGATAAGACGCAACCTTTAAAAATAACCATAAAGCGGTTATTATCGAAAAGATACAACCCAAAAATACAACCATAAATTTATGTTGAGACGAATGAATAATATTAGTGAGAAATGTTTTTCCTTTTACACGCACTTTACGGATTGGAATCATACGTCTTTATCTGACGATTAGTACAATGTTTACGCGGCTTTGCAAACCATAAAAACTGCTTTGATGTATAAAGAATCAAAGTTTCTATAGATAATTGTTAATTTAAAAAATTCACTACATGCACCACCTATTTCGAGGAAAAATAGAGCTAGAAATTTCAATACTTTTATGGTGGAAATTTGATGTTGGAGTCTAATGTATTTAAAACTTGCTTTACTAGTCTATAGAAATCTAAAATTTTTTACACAAATTAAGAATTTTTGGAACTTCTGCAATTGTAAAAATATATATACTTTAAAATAATTTCAAATAATAGAATGACGTTTTTTTTTATCTTTCATATGATGTAAGTGAATTAAACAATTAGTAGCCACTATTAACAAAAAGTTCAACGGAAAAAGGAGTAAAAACACAAATATATAGGCAAAACTTTTTTTTCGAAAAGACGCGACTCTTGAAAAATAATCATAAACTGGTTATTTCGAAAAGTTGCAACTCTTGACCAAACAGTTATAATGAAAAAGGCACAACTCTAGACAAAAAAGTTATAATGAAAAGACGCAACCTTTGACAAAACGGTTATATCGAGAAGACGCAATTTTTGAAATTAACCATTACAAATAACTACTAAACGGTTTTTTACGAAAAATCACGAATTTTTTGAGTTTGCTATTATATGTAGATTTAAAGTTTTGAATCATATATAGAATAAAATACAAATCTTAAACTTTTGTAAAATCTCAGTAACTTCCACGACTAATAGACCTTTTAAACAAAAAAAGAGTATCATCATTTTTAACACCATACCACCGAATACTACAATTCTCTCGCATAATCATTTGCTATGTGCGAATATATATTCGTCTCTTGGCAAAGTCTTGTTAACTTTAAAATATAATAGTAAAAACATCTATATTTAAAAATAATTTCAAAATAATGACGTCTTTTTATCTTTCTTATGCTTTAAGTGAATTAAACAATTAGTACCTATGATTAACAAAAAAGTTCAATGGAAAAAGAACACAAATATATATATGCAAAACTTTTTTTCCAAAAAGACGCGATCCTTGGAAAATAACTATAAAGCGGTTTTTATATAAGAAAAACATAACTCTTGAAAAAATGGTTGTATCGAAAAGACGCAACTCTTCATTAAACGGTTATACCAGAAAAACGCAAGTCTTAATTAAGCATTTATATCGGAAAGACGCAACTCTTGACAAAATAGTTATATTGAAAAGACGCAATTTTTGAAAATAAACATTAAAAGTAACTACTAAACGATTTTTTACGAAAAGTTACGATCCAAAAATATTAATTTTTTTGGGTTTGCTATTATATATAGATTCACAATGAACAAAGAAATTTTTACAATTAAAATACAAACCGCCATCGAAACATCAGGGCAAAACACAAAATAAACTAATCGGGCCCATGAAACACAATATCTACGATCACAAAATAATATTATTTTAGTAAGTTAAAAAATTAAGTAATATATTCGGTGATCAACTCCTCTTTTAATGTAAAAACTCAACGAACCGCAAAGAAAGAAATACCCAGGTCCACCTTTAAATTCAACGAACTAGATCTGATACATAATTACTGTATCAACATATCTCGGAAACATTATATCGATCTTTACGGTTATATTGTTAGTCAACCCCAAGTCCTAACTGACACTTATTTATTGGATAATACATAGCATAATAACAGCATACATAAACAGAGAAACTTTTCAAATGTGCAGAACTTTCTTACCTCGCACGTAAGAACATGAAAATGATTCTCGAATAGGTAAAACCCCTAATCAACAAATGTCATTAACCAGACAAAAATTCGGTCAAACGACTAGCACAAGTGTATTAAACATACGGTCAAATGTCAAATACCCGCATTTGCTAACATTCTTCTCTTAAACATATATGCCCACAGCAAGAAGTTCGAAGGTGAAAGATATCGCGGGCCCATCTACTTCAAAGCCAAAAAGAAAACCACGGAAAAGTCAGTAACCAAATTATCAACATTGTGTTCCCCTATAGTAGCCCTCGCTTTATACTCACAAGCTTTCAATTGCAGCCATTTGCAGATCAAGAAGAATAAAACCAAATACACTACAAGAATGCAGCAATTGTGGGGCGTTAGTATGGGATGCAGAAAGTAATGAGAAATCCTCTAATGGCCATCCACTTTT